TCTTTGAGGCGCGCGCAGAACGCTACGCGCCGTACGCTCGGGTCTGGTTCTGGTCGGGCGGCGAGCTGCCCTTACGACCGCGCCTTCGCCGACCCGCGCTTTCGGTGGCCGGAGATCGTCCGTTTTCAAATACTTACTGTTTGCAAGATAAATACAAATTATGGCGAGCTGGGAAACCTATAAGGCATAAAAAGGATAATAATTGTAATGTCTTAATTTGTTTTATATCATAGTTATCGATTAATTATTATGTTTTTATACTGCAGTAGCAGCGCGACAGTTGCCGAGTCGCGTGTCGCGGAATGCTGCTCATGAATATGAGCCTCTAGCATGGCTTGAAACTGGTCGAGTATCTCGTCAAGTTATTACGTGAGTAAGCCGACATAATAATTAATTTAGAATATAGTTATCGATGTTGGATCACTAAATTGTATCCAACAAAATCATTATTTTGATCCCTATATCCCTATATATGTAGGTATATAGGAAAAGCTTAATTTTTTAAAACGAGGCAGTTGATTTTGATAGATATAATCTGATAAAGTGATTGAAGAGAAAGAAGAAAAAAGGTTTATATGTATAATATAAAAATGAATCGCAAAATGTGTTGGTAAGCGCATAACTCAAAAATGGCAGGACCAGTTTTGTATTTATCATTGACAGGAGAAGGTTCTTATGAAAGAAAATATAAGAGAAGTAGAGGGGAAAATTGGGGAAAAGGGACCCACTCACGATAGTTGGACCCGTGCGAAGCGGGGGTGGGCTGCTAGTGTATAATAACACCCATTGAATATTGGAGGAATTTAGTATTAACATTGCACCCCTCCACAAAAGAAGTGAATCGCTAGTTTGAAAAAAAAATAGGTTTAACTTCAAGGAGGAAAGGAGTGATACCAAGGCCTCACAGAAAACCGGCGTGAAACAACCACAGCGTCGTGTTTCGTCGTGTGAGTGAGGTTACCGGAGGCCCAATCCTTCCCCTCCCCCAATGCCTACTCAATCAACGCACTCGTAACAAATCTCTAATCCCTAAAAGATTGGCAACGCAGTCGTAACTCCTCCGTTGGGGGTGTCCATGGGCGGCGCTGATTGCTTACCATCAGGTAATCCGTCTGCTCGTTTGCCGATCTATAACATAAAAAAGCCATGTTCTGAGCGAGACAAATCATATGATGATTTCCTTCGACAAAAAAAGTTACTTAGAATATAATGATGGTTATTTTAAATCGCGGTAATCTACAAGATCGGGGTCTATTCAGAAAAAGAAAACTATAAAATAAAAACAAAAAAATATAATTATTTAATAAGAATAACAAAATAAATTAAAACAATGCATCGATAACATTATAACAATTAATGTCTGTAGTTTGGATTTTAGTTTGTATGTCTCAGGTCATGGGGACTACTTTCCTATGGCTGCCGCTGATCCCACAACGGCCACTGCTGGTCCTGCTTTTATTATACTATCACGGATTCTCTGACCCGCCTTCTCCTGTAAAGAAAGATTGAAGATATAAGGTTAGAATATCTATGCAGTAGAAAAAGTACAAGATTCGATGCCCAGCTCCAATAAAATTGTTTTTAGTAATACTAATTGGAACTGACTAAGCAGTAGCGTTCTCTGATAAAACTGAACCATTTGAACAGGAATTTTGAATCTTCCTGTCAAGCATATGGAGACCAATCTTTCCTCCCCACATCCGTCCTCAATCCCTAAATCTTTCAAACCCTAATCCCCAAAGGCCGGTAATGCATTGGTCTGGTATACTCCTTTGGTGTTCATGGGCGGCGCGGATTGCTTACCATCAGGTAATCCTGCTCGCTGAACAATATGTTACAAACAAAACACTTAATCCCTTTAACATGTCTACTACACAGATTGGATAAATACTCCTTTCTCTCACCGTGCACGGTAATGTACAGAATTGACCTCTCTACAGATTTATTATAATGTATACAGGGCCTAGCTGGGCAATCAACTTTGAACATTCAATATTTTTCACTGGATTTTCGACTTTATATCAAAACAATAAAGCTTAAAAAAGCATATGCGGTTGAATTGAGAACCATCCTCCTTTTTAGAAGTCTGTTAAAAATGTAATTGAGAGGTATAATCAGTAGGAAGTCTGTTGTTCTCTTTCCTTAGGTTTTGGCCTATAATTATCTATCAATACAATACTCCTAAATGTTAAATTTTCACGTCAAAATCATTTTTTTTACTTACAATTTAGACCAGGGTGTATATTTTCGATTTATAAAAGTTTTAATCTATAAATATCACACCATTATTACGTGTAATGTTAACATTATGAATTGATGATATTTAGAAGATAATAATAATATTGTATGACTTAAAACCACAAGTTTAATAGAATGCAGAGCTAACTCATAAAGAGGGTATATCAAAATTGAATCTTATTATTGAAGCATACGTTTTAAATTCAAATACCTCCTTTTTTAAGTTAAACCTCTTTTCTATTAAGCGTACAAAATGTTGTTGTTTTTTTTTATTTAATTATTAAACAATAAATACTTACAATTTTCTTTAGGACTTTCCATCGTGGCTCGGGAGCTCCCGATACGGTAACCATTAAAACAAAACAAGCGAAAACAAACAAAAAAAGCTTTGTGAAATTCATTGTTAGGTTTTACTTAAATAAAATTGATTTTATTATTTTGTTAAAAATATTGCAAAATAATATAATGTATTATTATTTTTGTTTTCCGAACGCAGGTGATACGACACGAATGATGCTCTACCTGCAAAAGTGAGTGTTTAAATACTTTCTTTATTTCTAAAGTGGATGGGCTATCTCCTTGTTATGTTTCAAAGTATTCTAAGCTTTGTTTTAGTGTTAGTATGAGTCATATTACAGTGTAAGCGTGGTCTAATGCGTGCGTGTCGAATGCACATACTCAAGTATGGGGAGTCCCTCAGCCCCGAATGGTAAAAGATACCATGTACTGGATTCATGTTCTTATTTCAAATGCGGTTTAGCCGTTGATTCGTTTCATTTATTACTTGATTTTCCTTTGAAGACGATTAGGCATTAAGCAATTTGGAACTATTGTTTGGTTATTTGAATGCATATTTATATTTAGGTATAAAAAACCTAACCTTACTTTTGAGACGGGAAAGACATTAAACACTTTTTACTAAGTATTCGTTACAACTTTTTTGTTGGCAAATAAATTTCAATCACAATAATAGTAATTATTACTTGCGACGCCAGTCAAAAAAAGACACGACTAAACTAAAAACTTGAAATACAACTTGAAATGGTGTAACGTCATGAGTACCTAGTTCAATTCAAAGTCAATCATTAACTCTGAAATTTGATAATTTAACTATCGTTAATTACCTGAATATTTTACTTCAGTCCTGCTAATTTTACATATTCGACAACAAGCTCTTTAATGAAGCAAAAAACAAATAAACAACAATTGGCAATGAAACAAACCAACCTACATAATATAATAATATTTATCCGGTAAATAACCTAGATCTAATTAATTAAAAAATATCAATTGTAAGTGGTCTCTGAAGAGTCAGTTGTAATGGAATACTTTACACATAAGTGTTTATTTATTCACGTCATTATTTCATAACAAACCTCTTCTATTTGAATATCTTACGCATAACTTCATGATGAAGTAGTGCACTTATTACTGTATCATTATAAAAGTAGGCATCCAGTGTTACTGACGCGACTCCTTCTAAATTTATGATCTTGTTGTGTAAGTACATATTATAATTGTATTTTTTAAAGTTTTATTGTTGATGAAGAACCTTTTTACGTTATTGTTGCTGTTGAATGTTAAGAAGTATACAAAAAAAAAATTATAGCTTAGACAAAAATGCATGTAAATATTACATATTTTTAAAATATCAATCGATTAATATAACATATTATTAAACTTAAAAAAACTTATACATTTACTCTTGTAAAGAAACATTTATAATATTTTATGTTTTATTTCTTATTAAGTAGGGACCCGTATTATACGCATTTTATTAACAAATTCAATATCACCATGATACAAAAATTAAAACTGTTTAATCGGAATAGTGATACATAATTACAAACCTTCCTCTTTAATCATTCTATCTACTAATAAAAACTATAGCTATCAAAATTCTTTGCGTAGTTTTAAAGATTTAAGTACGTAGGAATACAGAGACATAGAAATCGAGCTTTGTTTTATACTTTGTAGTGATTCGATCTGTATTTTATATGTATCTCTTAAACCGTTTGCTTCACATTGCCATATAGCTTTTCGTAACTTGATTGAAATAAATAAAACTAGCAAAATAAAATAACTTTGAAAACTGATTCATTAATTTGTAGGCACAAGAATCATGTATTTACGAGTACTAATAATAATAATAATCGATATTTGTTACAAAATAGAATCATATTTTTTTTCTTTTTAGATAAACGTTGCCTCACACTAGGATTTTCTTCAGTGTCGTGGGTGCGGTTACAAACATACAATTCTACATACGCATGACACCCAGACCCGGAACAACAATTTGTGGATCACACAAAGAGTTGTTCCGTGCGGGAATCGAACCTGCGACACGTTGCACGGCAGTCAGCACCCAGTCACCGCACCAACCGTGCAGTCAAAATCAACCAAAAGTATATAAAAATCCCTCTCCTTATAAAATGACGCGTATAAAAACGATAAAAAATCAAATCACATTCAAACTCAATCATATTATTTAAATATATATAATTGCACACTGATAAACTGTACTGGATAAGGGACTTCACATACAACATCCCGATGTTCGCAATATCTGTGCTCAAAACTAATTAACCGAGAAACAGTTATCAAAACTCGTTTTGCTTGCCAAAAACAAAAGTTATAACTCTTATTTTAAACCTCTTAAAGTGCAAATTGCAAACATTTAAAGATGAATAAACGGTAAAATATAATTGGTGTTGTTTTATACATTTTAATATATATTGGCTTCAAATCTTGGTAGAGCATCATTCGTTGCGTATCGACTGCAGGGCAATTTTGTTATTATTAAATAGCATTGTTATTTTACTATAATAATAGTAAACATGAAATTATCTTGTGTGTTTTTGTTTGTTTTCGCTTGTCTGGTCGCTTTGAGCGCCGTCAGCGCCGCGCCAAAACCAAGATGGAAGGTCTTCAAGAAAATTGTAAGTATTCTATGTTCCTTTATATTTTATGTTAGTTGTGCATTATTTAATTATTTCAATGAAAAACTTCTTTGTTTTGTGATAAATTTGAAGAAAAGTTCAAATACAATTAATTCAATAATTATTTTTAATCTGTTTCTAAAACATTACTAATGTCAATAGAGTGCAATATTATTGCAGTGCACTGATAACAATAAAACATTTTTTCCGAGAAAAAAAAAACAAACTCGATAAGTACCTACTTCTATACTCAATTAAATTATCCTGTTACGAATTTTCAATTAATATTAATAATTCAGGTACTTTTATAACGCACAGTATGAGTATGAGAGTATGAGTCCAATTTTGAGCCGACTATTTTCTCGTATCGTCAGGAGTCGGCTTACTCAATTATTACACTGAAGTAAATGAAAACAATTATTATTTACTAGTTGTTTTACCCGCTGCTCAGCTCTTACAAATCCTAGCGTGATATTAAACACAAAAATAAGCTTTATAATAATTACTAGTTGACCCGGCAAACGTTGTTTTGCTTAGGGGTGGACTACCCCTAACATTTAGGGGATGAAAAATAGATGTTGACCGATTCTCATAGATACCGGATAAGCACAAAAAAAATCATCAAAATCGGTCAAGCCGTTTCGGAGGAGTATGGCAACGAAAACTGTGACACGAGAATTTTATATATTAGATTATTATAAATTTACATAATTATGTATAATACTTGATGCACATTAAAAAACTTTAATGAACTGTCTTCCCATCAACCCCCAAGCGAACGCCGGCGTTCTCACACCTATTGTTCTTCTATTGTAAATCGAATAAACACGATTCAAAGGTGAATAATCAAAAGTAATTCACTATAATTATTTTTTCAGGAAAAGGTGGGTCGCAACATTCGAGATGGTATAGTCAAAGCCGGTCCCGCTATCGAGGTACTGGGGGCAGCCAAGGCGCTAGGATAAACATTATTTTGTAATAATAATAGTATTATTATTTGTAAATATACCTCATAATACTCATTCCGCCACAGTAATAATAATAAATGCATTTATTTAGTTTATACTTTTGTTGTTTTTAGTTACCTGTTAACTTTCACTGATAAATAATGTAAGCTATACAATGAAAACAGTATTTTAGTATGGGAAGAAATGTGTGTTTACTGGATTTATTAAAAAAAAAAATAACTTAGGATTTTAAGAGCATTTATAGGCATAAAAACAAAACTTGAATATAACATTTTAGATAACCGGCTGGCGATATCTGCTTTAAAATTTAGTGGCAAAATTTCGCTATTGAAATACACAAGTCACAAGTAAAAGTAGGCATTAATAAGACTTAAAAAAATAATTAGTCGTCACACTACCTCCAAATTACTTGTTAGCTCAAGTTCCGTGCCATTTAATTTTATCGTGAACGTGTAGTTTTAAACCCTTAAATGATTGTACAACCATTTTTTAAAACTTCAAAATTAAATCGTCCTTTAGATACGGGCTCCATCTATCGATGCAACTAGGAACGGCTATTCTTTGGATAGAGAATAGCCGTTCACTTTTTACCCGACTACGGCAAAGCAAAACTGTTTGCGTAGTTTTAGTTTTAAAGATTTCACCATCCATACGGATGTAGGTAAATTGAAAGTCACTTTCTTTTACTCTAAGTGATATCCTTTCGTAGCTGGTGGAATATCTGGCCAAAATCTGTGTGTTCAGAAGAAAATCACCTGGGTGCCTTTTTTATGTGATTGTTCGGCAAACGAACAAAGGGATAACCTGATCGCCTGTAAGATTCCTTCATACAAAAATATAACACTATTGATGTGCTAAATAAGGCTTCCAAGATCGTGAGGAAACCTGGACCCTATAATTTCTAATTCACCTTAAGCAAGTTTTCACCACACTTAATACTCAAACCTTCCCTCATGTCAGAGGGCTTTTAACTCAGCAGTGGACACTTATAGGCTGATGATGATAAAGATGACGAAAAAAGAAAGCTGATCTTCGACGTCGCTACCTTCGTGCTGAGGCAGCTCAGTAAATTGCATTCCGCTGTCTTCAATCACGTCGAAGTAACGAGGTTACATCACAGAAAGCTAATACGACTATCTTGCAGTCCAGGATGGAGGTGTCAGACAATACCATTGCTGAGCTACGTGCCAGAATCCCATCGTTGCGTCACGCATGTTTTTTTATAGTATAGGTTGGCCAAACGAGTAGACGGACTACCTGATGCAATTAGCGCCGCCCATGGACACCTGCAACACCAAAGGAGTAACGAGAGCATTGCCGGCCTTTTAAGGATAAGGGTTCTGGTTATTTCAGGATTGGGAAGAGATGGGAGGGATTGGGCCTCCGATAACCACACTTACTCAGCGAAACACATCGCTATGGTTGTTTCACGCCAGGTTTCTGTAAAGCCGTTCGAAGCTTGGCTCTCCCATACTAAAAAGATCTCTGGTAGGCCTCAATCAGAGGCTACCGCAGAGATTAGTCCAGTTATTAAGTCAACAACCGTAACGTAAAGAAGTAGGAGAAGCCCTATTAAAAGAAAATTAAATACTCTCGTGCAAACCTTGCAAATATACCAATGTGACTTTTTCCGAGTTATATGTGCTTACGAAACTTCTCTTTAGCAAAATTATATTATATTGTCAAACTTGATAAATTTGTAAAAGTGAGTGCCCTTGTAACCTATTACAATTGGTTAGACTTGCAGAATTTTGGTCCTTATGTCAGATTTGAGTTCTCATGCTCACTCACTGGCGGTGGCACGGGCACTGGGTCACTCAATTCCCTATAATATAGTTGAGTTGGGCGATGCTGGTGTACGTGTCATGTTCGTGAACGGGCGCCGTCAGTTGGGACTGGTCAGCTTCGGACTGTCTATTGTCCTTAAGGTTATTTTCTTTCTTTAAGTTTCTCTGAATAGATATTAATGTTACACTGTTCTCACATAATTGAACCAACTGTTTTTATAAGGAATATGTATGTGAAACTGATTTAAAAAGAGTAACCATGGAGTTTCTTGCTCGTTCTTCTCCATTGGAATCTACACTTTGGAACGAGCAATTAGCTCCACAAAAGGATTGACCGACAGACTGACACTTAATATCTTTAAAATTGATTTATTCTATTCTAATACCAAAAACTAATACCACTGGTATTTGATGCAACTCTTATTTTTTTTCTATTCCGAACGGATACCACTTTTTAAATAATTTAATTTAATGTACGAACGAATACCAACAACTTGAATTTGGTACAGTCAGCGCAGTCAAACCTAATCAAAGTAAATTTGTTTTTCAATATTTTTATGTAATCGTAATATAATGCTTATAATTTTCCAAATTCACTTCACTCCAATATTTTTACAAAGGTTAGCATAGGTAAGAATAGTTTTAGTGAATCATCTTGCTAGTTTTTTTTTGCTATATGTTCAATGAGAAAAATCATAGCTGCGAGCCCGATGAATTCAAAAGTGTATTGGCAAAAAAGCTGGATGATTTAAGAGATAAAGTGATGAAGTCTGATTTCGCAACAAATTCAAATCACAATTCTGCGTCACTGAATCAGATTTGGTGAGAAGTATCCCATCGTTTGCAAACATCAAATCAAAATTGTATTATGCAAGAAACAACGCAGCTGGTGTAAAAAAAATTAAATGTAAATCAATTGATGAAGTAGAAGTTCCATTACAATTTAGAGATTTTTTGTTTTACGATTATAAAGATGAGTCTTCCAATACCCGAATAATAATCTTGGCCAGTCGAAATCAACTAGAGAAAATATCGAGCATTAAATTTTTTGAAAGCGACGGAACATTCTATTGCACCCCTTTTGTGCTGTTATATACTATCCACGAAGATCTGGGAAGTGACGAAGATCACACTCGCATAGTTCCTCTTATTTGTGTTTTACTTAACAAAAAAACAGAAGAAACATACAAAAAATTATTTGAAACGTCGAAACAAAACATTCCTGGGTGGGAACCCTAAAAAACCGTAAAATTTTTAACAGATTTTGAACTAGCCGCCAATGAACGCCATTACAATTGTTTTTCCGTCAGTTGTGATTAAAGGATGCTACTTTCATTATTCCAAAAATGTATGGAAAAAAGCAAAACAGTTGAATCTGACAAAAGATGCTATCACCCAAAGACATGTAAGACTGCTTTACTGCCTTTACTTCCTCGTAAATTCATATCAGAAGGATGGTGCTACATAATGGAAGACTGTCCTGATACTGACGCCATTTAAATATTTAATGACTACATGGTGTCACAATGGCTAGAGAACGAGAGTTTTGTAGACATTTGGTGCGTTCATGGTGAACGCCATCAAACCACAAATGCCGTACCTAAAGAATGCTAATTTATATCAGCTTCTGAACGTGCTGAAAGAGGACGCAGATTTACAAACAGTGGTTGTTACTCAATAAAATCAAACGCACCCCCGCAAAACGATGTGCACAGACAACTATTTTGAAAAATTCGTGGATCACATAACGTAACTGACCAACTCCTCAAAAACAAAATCTCCGTAAGGTCACTTCTTAGAAAAGTTAAGGGTTTAGCTACTAATTGTTGAAATATGAGAAATTATTTACATGTCATTTAGCTGATTATACTAATAGTAGATTTAATAGATTTTCTGTGATATTTTATAATTCTTAGATTATAAGTGAATTATTCATATATGACGTTTTTGCAAAAAAAAATTGCTGATTCATTGCTATATAGGTGAAGAATGACTGATTTGATTATACAAAAAGTTGATTTTCTGTGATATTTTACAAATTTTAGATAAAAAGTGATTTATTTTTAATTATTATTCTCCGTGTGAGTATTCTTAGTCTCCATTTGCACAGTAGCAGTGCACAGTACAGCAGTGGGCACTTATAGGCTGATCGTGACATTTAACTGTCTACTCTTCACCTATCAGTATGATTTCAAAAATAAAAATAATTTGAAACTCAAAAGTATATTAATGGTACTTACGGTATGTAAAGAGTAAAACAACAGAAATAAGATCTTAAAATACATTTATTTATTTATTATATACTTTATTGTACACTACATAGTTATAAAGGATAGAAGGAATCTATTTGCTTAAAAGGATTCTCCTCATTGAAACAATGAAACAATGAATTTATTTTTGCAAATAGGCCTTAAAACGGCACTTTTACACGTCAAATTATATGTAAAAAACTAGATGAAGCCGGCATTTCCTATCTGACTACTCTGAGAAGAAATGCCGAAACAAACTCACTCAACATTGTAATTAGAATAAGTTATTTAAGTTGAAGCAATAAACTTTTTATTTATTTATTTAAAGGATAGCTTACAAACATTGAGTGTACAATGGGCGGTCTTATCGCACAAGTCGATCTCTTACATGTCTGTAAGAGATCGACTTGTGCGATAAGACCTTTGGATGAAGCTATAATAGGAGTCTGAAATATGGGTCGTTAAGTGTACAATTTTGGATAAATGCTTATTAAAATACTATAAATAATATATATGAATATTTTTTAAATTAATTTAAAATGTTATGACATAATGAGTATTTAATAGCTTATTATAAAAACAATTATTATTATTGTTATAAAATAATACTATTTAAACTTAAAACACATTAATCTTTGGATGAATATACATCAAAATTAAAAAAAACTTATTTAATTTTTCTTACAGTCAAACAGTAATTAATAAAAAGTTTCACATTCCATATTTGTTAAAAACATTTCACAAAGCCGTGAGTGATAGTCATGATAGTCAGATAGTGACATTTTCATTTTTTTTATTTATTTTTAATAACGTTGCCCCACACTAGGATTTTCTCCTCTGTCGTGGGTGCGGTTACAAACATACAATTTCACATACACATGACACCCAAACCCGGAACAACAATTTGTAAGTCACACAAAGAGTTGTTCCGTACGGGCATCAAGCCTGCGACACGTTGCACGGCCATCGCACCAATCGTGGAGTCATTCAGTGATAGTACTTGATGTGATGATTACGATGATAATACTGCTTAGTCATTACTTCCCCAGCGCCTTGGCTGAGCCGAGGACCTCGACAGCAGGTCCAGCCTTGATGATACCGTCTCGGATGTTGCGGCCCATCTTCTCCTGATAAATAAAGTTAAATGTACTTAATGAAGTTTCTAAAAAAAAACAATAGTTTTAAGATTCCTATAGAGTTTGTTTGACCAGAAATCGAACTACCTAAATAAGTAAAAAACAAAAAAACAGAGGATGTAAGTAAAGTAGTACTAATGCAAAGAATTTCAAAATTCTGAACTTCGTAAATGTAAAATCTTTAAAATTTGCTAGAAGGTAGTGTTTTTAGAGATTACTTCGGGATTTTGTTATATTGTTAAGCCTAAATAAATAAAGTATTTTTGGCCAAATAATTACCTAAGTACTGAATCACAACATAACGCCACACACAAACACATCTATTTTAATAAAATCAATGTATTTTAATACGATTCTTGTAATCTAAGTGCTGCGTAATTTTATTATCTGTGCAGAGTTCAAGAAAAGGGACATTATGAGACTATAAAAATGGTATTAGAAGCTGTTGAAATAAATAATACTTACAATCTTCTTGAAGACCTTCCACCTGGGTTCCGGCGCGGCGCTGACGGCGCTCAGCGCGACCAGGCACGCGAACACGAACAGAAACACTCGGGAGAACTTCATCCTGCTGTTGTACTGGTGTTGTGTGCGAATGCTGCTGTACTGCGCGACACTGTGGCTCTGCACTCAATGATGCTCCATTTGTACACATCTCCTATTATATACTGTTTACCTAGTGCAGAAAACATTTAGATGACTTCATTCAATTAAATTTTAACTTTAACTCTAAAAGATAAGGTATGTTTTCATTACAAAAAGCGGCTGCAAATCATTTGTTTATATTAAACGTTAGTTCAGGAAGCCCCCGAGTTTGAGATGTTAATGAAATCCCTCTTATCAAATATTTTTGTTGCTGTTTGACCGCTTACTGATATTTTATCTGTTTGGTTTAATTATGCGTTCTATTAATATCATCGTAATAATTTTTGAAAGTGAATTAAATATACTATAAAACAAAACACATAAAACATTGACTAATGTGTGTATTATATTAAAAATAACTGGTATTTTACTAATTATAATATTATTTGGTACTACATAATTCTGTGGGAGTTATGGCAAAATCTCAATTTATCGCCTATTCTCAATTTATTTTATGTTAGGTATAATTCGTCCAAATAGTTGAACTAATGCTTAAGCTATCGGCACCGCCCTTGGACACCCAAAGCACAGTATAAATATGGAACAGTTAGGTATCTAAGCCTATTTGAACGTATAACTACCTACCGGTCATTAAAGCACTAGGGTTGTCACTTCTAATGTTTTTGATATTGTTTGTTTTTCTGAAAAAATAAATTGTATTTTGTTGTAATCAATCAATCGAATTAAAATAACTAGTTTACAAATAATATTTAAATAGATAATCTTATGGTGTCGCGGATGTTAGCCTCAAAAACGTTAGTTTAAATAAATGTTAAGATATAAGCGCTATACCGTATAGCGCTATCTTTTACCCAAACTAGAATAAGAATAAAACAATCTTACTTTGAACATGGTAACCCACCTTAGCTCATGAGAGGTAGTTTTCAGGTATTTGCCAAAACAATGAAAAGGACACCCATGATAGAAAAGTTGGTATTTTTTGCAGCCGCCATCTTGGATTTAAATTTGGACAGCACTATCGAATCACTATCATCACCCTCGAAAACCATGAAAACGATGCCCATGATGAAAAAGTTGATGTTTTTTGCAGCCGCCATCTTGAAAAAAAAACGTGGCATTTTTAAAAAGATCGCGAATATAAACTAAAGTGCCCAAAGGCAACACCACCGGAGTTACGAGTGCGATGCCGCCCTTTTGGGCTATGCTCCTTTGGATTGGAGATATTTGAATGGGGTATAGAAGGATTGGGCCAATCCTTTAAAGGCAGGCAACAAACTTGTACCGCCTCTAATCTTATGACTTTGCATAAACGGGTTATCTTTCTTCAGGTGATACGTGAGCGCCTTTGACTCCATCTATACTAATATTATAAAGATGTAAAATTATTATAAGTTTGTTAGTTTTTATGTAGGGGGTAATCTTTGGAACCGCTAGTTGAATCGCCACAATTCTTTCGCTGATAGATAGTTACAATGTTCCCAAGTGCTATAGGCTATATGTATAGTTAGTATTTATATAAACACACTAGCTACCGCCCGCGGCTTTGCCCGCGTGGTGTGTTCATAAAAAGTAGCCTATGTCCTAATCCGAATCTGTATCTTATGCCTGTGCCAAATTTCATCCAGATCCGTCTAACAGTTTTGGCGTGATTGAGTAACAAACATCCAATCCATTCGTGTAAGTCCAAAGAAGGTTTCTACGTAGAGATAATTAAAGAAAACGTGAAAGAGTGTAAAAACGACATCCACGGACCGCTAGTTCTGTAAAAGTACCGACTTATACACATAAAGCTAATTTTGTAATATACATATACCTATTTAATTTGAATTAATATCGTATTAAATATTTTTTACAAAAAATAATCCGACTTCAAAAAGTAAACTAAATAGCAACAAATAAATTTTCTATTCAGAAATTAATACATGTTTTCATTTAGTTAAACCGAAAATAATATTTATAACCATTTTATAACCTTGTTCTTGATTTCTACTGGAACTATTTAAAACGATAAACATCCTGACGGTGCCTTGTCAGTTTAAGAAAATATTATGTACAGTAAGGAAAAATTTGCAATTATTTCAAAATAGAAGTGATAGATATAATTTTAATACATTCGGTAAAGATAGGGTGGCTGTGCTACGATTCCGTCTGTCCAAAGTACAGAAATTCTTTATGAGGTTCTGTGTAAAAATCCAAGTAGTGTATTGAATCTTAACGAACGAAAATCTAAAACTTATATTAAACGTGAATTGTGTAGACAGGCATACTACAAACTTTCAGATTATATTGAGGATAAGAATGCCTGGCAGCGTGTTGATTCGGCTCCACTGGACCGTACTCAAATATAGTCAGTAGTTACTAAGATTCTCAAAATTAATGCATCCTTAATTTATATATCGAAAGAGTTTATATAGAAGCTCTCTTAAAGATTGTGAGTACGCATATGAGAGCGCCTTGTTCGAGACGACAAATCATGCGTTTGATAGGTTTTCGGTCAATTTGCCAGACTCAGAGAAGAAATTAGAATGGCGTCTTCGTTGGTAAGATTCTGATACTCAGCTCATCTAGGGGATGGTCATTCAGTTCTAAATGTCTATCCAAATGAAAAGGACACTCTCATATATAGGTATATACAACGAGTAAATCATTAATTTACTAGCGACCTGTCCCTGCTTCGCGCGGATCCTAATATTTTGCCAACAACGAAAAGGTCACTCATCCCAATTATCCCCTCTACTTTCTACATGCTAAAAATGGGAAGAACCATGCTTCGGCACGAATGGGTCGGCTCGACCGTTGCGTTGTGTTTCGCCGTGTGAGTGAGGTTACCAGAGGCCCAATCCTTCCCCTTTCCCAATGCACTCGTAACTACTCTGCTGTTGCGGGTGTCCATGCAGCGTTGAATGCTTACCATAACGTATCCGTCTGCTCGTTTGCCGACTTAACACATAAAAAAAAGTTTTCTTCCGTAAGAACCCTCTACCGACAGTGATAAATACAACAAAAAAAGAATAAGCAAAATTGGTCTAGGCATTGCTGATATATTATAGATTTGTTTTTCACACAATACAGGCTGTGCAATGGCGGCCTTAATGACTAAAGGTTTTCTCTAACAGTGAACCATAGTAGTGCAGAGTAATCAAGCAATTGGTGCGAAGTATATCACTATCAGCCATATCATTGGCACTCATCAGGTAGACTACATATGGTACTTGGCAATTGGGCGCTTTGTGTGGTCCACAAATTGTTGTTCCGGGTCTGAGAGTTAAATCACGCCCGGGACTGGAGCAAAACCCTAACGTTAGGTAAGAAGGATAACATTTAAAAGTGCTGCTTAGAGTCTCTAAATGCCTAGTAGATATTTTTTGCCAATAAGCAATTTGATTCGTCGCAGTCACTCTAACCAGCTTTTTCACCACCTTCATATAAGATGTAAGGGTGGGAGAGCCAAGCTTCGGTACGAATGGGTCCGCTCAACCGGAGTAATACCACGGTCTCACAGAAAACCGGCGTAAACAACCACAGCGTTGTGTTTCACCTTGTTAGTGAGGTTACCGCAGGCCCAATCCCCCTTGCGGGATGAGGTGAGGGAGGCCATAACTCGGCACTGGGCTGAGGACCTCGCCTCTGCAGAGTTTGGTCGCCGGACGTTGGACGCCCTCGGGCCCGTCCTGAACGACTGGCTCGATCGGCAGCACGGCTGCCTGTCTTTTCGCCTGGTGCAGGTACTGTCCGGGCATGGTTGCTTCGGATCGTACCTGCACCGAATTGGGAGGGAAGAATCGCCACAATGCCACCACTGTGGCGCCGCGGTGGATACTGCAGAGCACACCCTAGAGGTGTGCCCATCGTGGGATGAACCCCGCCGCGCCTTGGTGGCAGTGGTCGGGGACGACCTCTCGCTCCCCAGCGTAATAACATCCATGCTGGGGAGTGAGGAGGCATGGGCAGCGGTGGCCTCCTTCTGTGTGGACGTCATGACACAGAAGGAGGCGGCGGAGCGCATGGGGGAAGAAGATCCTCTCGCAGCGCCGCTCCGCCAGCGAAGAAGGGGCGGACGAAGACGGCGTACACAACGTCCGTCGTCACCTGATCCAGGGGGTGATCAGCGGGCGACAAGCGCGGGGGCGCAAGCGCCTGCATCGCACGAATCACCCGTGCTCCGGCCATCATAAAGGCTCCTCCCTGCTAGGGGGGATTTGAGGGGCCTGCCATGAGGCGAGCAGTCGCCGGTGGGGGACTGGACGTCATGGATTCCCAGACCCCCTCCACTCAGGCGAGGCCGGAGTGCCACTGGGTTTTTTAGTGGGTATACCGGGAACGACTTTACCGGGGAGTCCCACATAACCCTCTCCCGTCGGTATGCGTAATAGCATTTTTCCCAGTGCCGCAAAAAAAAGGCCCAATCCCCCTCATCTCTTCTCAATCCTTATATCCGAAACCCGTGTATGGCCAACAACGCACTTTGTCGTTGTTAAAATTAAATATTTTAATTTGAAGTTATTTCATTTGTGGTTAGCTCTTTCTTGTTCTAAAAGAAAACTAGAAAACTGACTAAGATTCTAAAAATCCATTGGGAGTCAAAGGGAGAAATCATCATATTACTCCTTCCGCCCTCTGTGGGGAGAGAGTCAGTGCCAGACTCTAACTGACTAAAACCCACTCAGTTCCTTGACCTGCTACGAGTTCAAACCCAATTTTTCACTTATAAATTAAAAAGAATCCAACAAACACAATATAAACAAATAAAAATACAGAAGTAAAGCATAAAATTATATTTATTACCCTATTCTCTTTAATAAAAGATATTTACCCATAATTTATTCTTACAACATAATACAATCAAAGTCATTCACCTAGAGAAAATTGACCGATAGACTTAGTCATATCATATGATTGATCTAATCCTATCAATGTACACTATAAACCTGAATCAAAATTTAAGTACGTACAATAACAAGCTTAGACTTACGCAATAAATTAATTATTTACAGTCAATTAAAAAAAAGTTTAAAAAAAGAATATAAAAAATATTCCATGAAGTTTTTGTGTACTTAAAAATTACTCAACCACTACACTTATGTAGTCTTGGTGACTAAAACGCCAGACACATGTAGCCAGACTCAGTGTTTACACCTTAATAGGTCTGGTGTCGATTGTCAGAGTATTATAGTAGATAATGGAATTATGGTGATAAAGGTCGTGGTAGCCCGAAGGCTAAGGCGCCCGCTTCTCATGCATCAGCTCAAAACTTGACAAGTACCAATGTGACTTTTCTGAGTTATATAGTATGTACTTTCTATGATTATTCAGACACCATTGACATGTTACGGTGAAGGAAAACATCGTGAGGAAATCTGGACTTAAATTTGAAATTATAAGTTTAAAATTTGAGTAAGCGTTCTGGTTAATGCTTAAACCTTCTCCGTGTGAGAAGAAGCCTTTGCTCAGCAGTGGACACTTATAGGCTGATGTTAATGATGATGATAACGATGATGAAGCTGCCATTACTTCCCCAGTGCCTTGGCTGAGCCGAGGACCTCGACTGCGGGTCCGGCCTTAATGATACCGTCTCGGATGTTGCGGCCCATCTTCTCCTGATAAAAAAATAATTATATTTTAGTTTATATGTTTAATAATTGTTTATAAACTTGAACTAGGCTAATCGTTTTCGATCTATTTCTGGTTCGTTGTCGTCTGTTCTCTGAGAAATTTGCTTATCCGAGATGTGAAATAAGCGAGAAATACGATAAAAATAATATCAGAGGATTCTCCCCAAAGAAGCGACATTTGTGACGTAGGTTGGAGTTCTGATCAAGCGCCAGGTTGCACCAGTGCTAAAGTGGTTAATTTTTTTTATAGTTGAGGATCAGAGCTTCTTTGACTGATTAATCAGTCACAGAGATTCTAAAGTAATTAATGACAGGTTTTTAGATTACACGTTTTCGCATTGGTAGTGCAATTGCACTTGCGCAGCAAGAGAAACAGGGCGCTTTATAGTCAGTAAAAGTCTGACTCCCTTTCGCTTTACCACTGGCAAGAGAAGTCATTCGAAGTATGATGAGTAAAAACCACATCGTTGTTTCGCCGTGTGATTGAGTTTACCGGAGGCCCAATAATTTCTTCCCTCATTCCCTAAATCCCCCAAAGGTCGGCTACGCACTCGTAATTCTTCCTTTGCTTAGGGTTTTTTTTGTGAGGGGAAAATCATCAAATGTCTTCTCCCGCCCATAGTGTCAGACTCTTACTGACTAAAAACCCCCCTGTTCCTTCTCCTGCTCTGGGCCAAGGTCGCGGTGCCTCATTGCGCTTACCCCGCAACCCTGGCTGAACATCAGCCCTATAGGGCCCCGTCTGTGGTGGTCTATTGGCTCTTTGAAGCGCGCGCGGAACGCTACGCGCCGCACGCTTGGGCCTGGTTCTGGTCGGGCGGCGAGCTGCCCTTACTCGCCTACCGCAGACCCGCGCTTACGGTGGCCGGAGATCTTCCCTTGTCCTTTGCTGAGGGTAAACCTGTTTGCTTACCATCAGGTAATCCGTATGCTCGTTTGCTATCACATAAAAATGGTACTCACAATCTTCTTGAAGACCTTCCACCTGGGTTCCGGCGCGGCGCTGACGGCGCTCAAAGCGACCAGGCACGCGAACACGAACAGAAACACTCGGGAGAACTTCATCCTGCTGCTGTACTGGTGCTGTGTGCGAATGCTGCTGTACTGCGCGACACTGTGGCTCTGCACTCAATGATGCTCCACTTGTACACATCTCCTGTTATATACCCTAATGATCAAAACATTGGATGATGTTCGCGTAATTGTCATCATCAAGCCAATTTAAACTCTGTAACTCAAAGATAAGGTACGTTTCAACTTGTGAATTACCTCTGACTTCGAGATTATCATGTTCAAGCTAATTTGAACGTTAATGCTTTACAATACATTGCATTTTGTTTGTTGTGTTGACTCTGACCTCTGACTAGTATTGATAACGTTTACGCACGGTTCAGTCCAGGAAAGTCCCGAGTTTGAGCTGTTAATTAAGTCCCGCGTATTATAAATATTTTGTATCTGTTTTATATTTTTAATTTACTTATATAATTCTACTGTACGTGTGTATGTCATTGAACTCCTCCTAAACGGCTTGACCGATATAAATGTTTTGTCTGTATAAAATAAAAATAAAATAAATAATCCGCAAGGCAGCTTGTGGCGAGCTGTTGGGCAGTGGCGACCCCACGGACCTGACTCCCGGGAGGTGTCTGGTTTCTCTCTCTCCGGTTAGTCCTCGTGACGAGCTGGAGTGAACACTGATGAAGAACAAGCCCTCCTACCTCATTCTTGCCTTAATTGGCTGGCTTGAGTGGAGATTCGCAAGAGTAGGAGTTGAAGGAGACTCGGGGGAAGGATGTATCTCAGTAAGGTGCTGGTAGGGGTCTTGACCGTACTTCCGGAATTGCTCTGATAGCCGTGGGATGCCTCTCCTTCCCCAAGCAGCTCAACGTATGTTGCCCCCGTGTCGCTACATACTAGCGGCCGTTTCCGAGGGCCCATTAATTGAGTTTGCCAGTCACCCCCTGCCTGTTTATCCGTATGTATCAATATTGGTCATGGGCAGGGGCCATAGTATTTCCATAGTTATCATATCCACCAGTCCATAGCAACCCATATTCATAACCCTATCAATTTTTACCACATTTTTTTTTTTTTTTTTTTACTTGCAATAAACCAGTTCTTGACTGCGATCCCACCTGATGTTAAGCAGTGATGCAATCGTTGATGGTAAGGCGCACTAGTTTATTAAGAGCCTATTCACTCTAGCCTTGAAGACAGCTAAGTTGTATTCGGACGGAAAGACTGCAGCCGGCAAACTGTTCCAATCCCTCGATGTACGCGGTATAAATGACGAGGCAAAACGCTTAGTCCGGGCCGCAGGTATCTCAACATTTCACAATAGTCTTGCATCAACCGGGGATTGTCCTTGGGTGCACTTATATAGTGCATACAGGAATAATTGCCGGCTGATGTCCCATCACATTTAGATTAAAACTGTTCAACGGGCCTCTGCGAGTTGGCTTCGGCTCTTCGTACGCCTTCCAAAGGTCCGGGACCCTGTGGTGCCGTGAAAGGATAGAACAAACAAATAAATAAAATAAAATTTATTGAAAAACAAAGATCACACTTTATACAGCGTTGTATGTGTTAGAGTGGCGCCTTGGATGCTTTAGATTCACAAATCAGCTCGGCAGATGGCGCTGATTGCTTAAAAAAGTGTCATCTTGGAAACGTCCCTAACGATTTTGCTAAAATTTGATATGTCGGGGTTTTCGGGGAGGGTCCGCCAGTAATTTTATACTTGTTTTGTAAAGAAGTGAATTTTGGATAACTTAACATGCCTAATAATTGCCGTTTGCTATAACATAGTTTTTTGTATTGTCAGATGGAATCCTTTTTTATGTCAGTTGAGGTTACAGTTTAATTCTTGTTTTTTCGTGCATTGTACATTACTTGCCTTTAAAATTGTAATAACAATAAAGGTCGACTGTTAGACAATGCCTAGGGCATTAAGTCCACCTTTACATGTTTTTGTATAAAGTGTATAAATAAATAACAAAGTAAGCTACGTTTGTCAACGAGCTGTTTTGCAGTGTGGGGTAAATATATGTATTAACATACAAATAATTTTAGGAGTGTATTTAGTCATTTAATTAATTATTGATTCATAGTTTGTCATATTTTGAAAAAAAAATGATTATAATAAGTAGTGATTATAGTAGTAAAGTATTGTCGGCATTTGTAAAATCTTTAATTTTACAACATAAATATAAGTACTATTAAATATCTTTTGTTGTTAGGGGAAACACATAAAATGACTTCTCCCGACCAAGGTGGGGCGGGAGGAGTGTCAGACTCTAACTGACTAAAAACCCCCCGTTCCTTCTCCTGCTCTGAGCCGAGGTCACTATAGAATAAAAAAAACATTTTACTATACAATAAATAAAATAATTATTTTTAGCGACACCCAAAGAAACCCTTTACAAGAACATTACCTATTGTATGAATTCTTCCGCCTTGTGTAGGGCACGAGGGACTGTCAGACTCTAATTGTCTTAGTCCCATCGAGAAGAAGTCCAAAGCTGTCTCCTTTTTCTACAAAGCAACCATGTACGCAAAGTCAGGCCCAAGCCCAAGGAGTTGGAGATACTCTAGACGTTTGACATTGACAGTAAAAATGATATTTATAATGATATTTTGTTTATTATTAATTGTAACAGTATTTATGGCCAGACTATGTAATAAATATATTGATAATTACCCATACATATAACTATAACTACAAATGAACATGATATATAAATAAGAAAACCAAGTAAATTAAGTAACCTTAGAATAAACAATACATAAATTTGTAGCTCAAGAAAAGTGATATTAATGATCTCCATAATATATTTTACATATTTTTGAATTTTATTTTAAATATAAGTAACATATTTTAAATATAATTAAGTTACTTTAAATAGATTAAGTTATTTTAAATTGAATTAAGTTATTTTAAATAGAATTAAGTTATTTTAAATAGAATTAAGGTATTTTAAATAGAATTAAGTTATTTTAAATACAATTAAGCTATTTTAAGATATTGAAACAGAGCTTCCTCTCTCCTGTTTGCCTTTTTTGCTGTGCCCTACAGGGTCCATAATTGATCTCACACAAATTGTTACCACTTTTAAATGTACTTATGGAAAAGCAATAAATATATTGAGTATTGAGTATTGACATAGTGTGATGAAGTCTGGTACCATGTTTGTGGTCATCAAGCAAGGTTAGATTGCCGCGCGACCAGAACTAAACCCGAGCGTATGGCGCTTAGCGTCAAAGATCCAATAGACCACTACAGATGGGGCTCTATAAGGCTGATGTTCAGCTGGAGTTGCGGGGTAAGCGCAATGAGGTACTGCTGCTCCGGCCTTGAGCAGGGTAAAGAATGGAACACTCCATTCTTTCTTCTTCTTCTTCTTTCTTTTTAGTCAGTAGGTAATAGTCTGACACCCTTTCTCGCACCAATTAGGAAGAAAGCAAAGAAAAAATCTGTCAACTTAACAGTATATGGTACCTGTTATGTAAATAAAATAATCAAACTTTTAAACATGAGTTTCTTGCTCATTCTTCTCCATTCGAAACTACAATTTGGAACGAGCACAGACCTAGCTTCACTGACGAACAGACTGACAGAATACTATTCTATTTTGACGTTTCAAAAGTACCTATTTATGGTTTAGTTGGAATAAATGATTTGGATTTGATTTGATTTGAAAAAAAATAACTAGAGATTTTGAACAATACTCCGAAACATTTCTTGGCCATCGGACTTATCAACATTAAACAACCTACCTACTCAGAGTTTCAATGTAAAATTACAATTTTATAAAAGTAAGTACCTTAATACCCGTGTTTCAAAGTATATATTGGCTTGATCATAACATAACTGTAACTATAAAAGTATTAAACAAAATAAGAATAAAAAATCTAAAATATCATATTCGCGGGACTTAATTAACAGCTGAAATTCGGGACTTTCCTGGACCGAACTGTGCATCAACGTTATCAATATACAACTAACTATAGGTCAGATCCAACAAAAATAAAATGCAATGTATTGTAAAGCATTAGCGTTCAAATTAGCTTGAACATGATAATTTCGAAGTCAGAGTTAATTTACAAGTTGAAACGTACCTTATCTTTGTGTAACAAAGTTCATATTGACTTGACGATGACAATTACGCGAACATCGTCCAATGTTTTGATCATTAGGGTATATAACAGGAGATGTATACAAGTGGAGCATCATTGAGTGCAGAGCCACAGTGTCGCGCAGTACAGCAGCATTCGCACACAGCACCAGTACAGCAGCAGGATGAAGTTCTCCCGAGTGTTTCTGTTCGTGTTCGCGTGCCTGGTCGCGCTGAGCGCCGTCAGCGCCGCGCCGGAACCCAGGTGGAAGGTCTTCAAGAAGATTGTAAGTACCATTTTTATGTGATAGGACGGCAAACGAATATACGGATTACCTGATGGTAAGCAAACAGCGTTATCCTCAGCAAAGGAAGAATTACGAGTGCGTAGCCGACCTTTGGAGAATTTAGGGATTGTGTGATAGGATCACAAAGGAGCATACGGATTACCTGATGGTAAGCAAACAGCAGCACCCAAGGACACCTTCAACAATAGAAGAATTACGAGTGCGTTGCCAATGTATGTCTAAAAAAGGACCAAACATTTAACTACAAGATTTGATAACCTGACGTATTTATGATTACACTAGTTTCCGCCCGCGGCTTCGCACGGGTATAAAAATAATGTATTCCAAAATTTTCAAAACAGCAGCGTTCGAAGCGATAGCTCGAGTAAAATACCCGAATAATAGTTTAATTGACAGCCTTTTGCACTCAGGAACATAGTAGCATTTTATCAGTGAAATCGTTTTGGAAATCCGACCAGCAGTTCCAAAGATTACCGCCTACATACAAACTTACAAATTTTTATTATAAGTTTCGTTTCGACGCGGCGAATGTCGCGCTGCTACTGAGTACAGTAAAAAATGGGCCGTAATATCCGAGACGGGATCATCAAGGCGGGTCCTGCTATCGAAGTACTCGGTTCAGCCAAGGCTCTAGGAAAGTAGAAAACACCATCGTTAGCAACAGTCTACTATCCTACTTCAATAGTCAGCAACAGATCTCAGATGAACCCAATGCGTCTTGTTTTAATCGGACCTTGAAAAG